TTACAAGATGTTAGAGAATTATATTAAAGGTAAGTAAATTTATGGTTATAAAATATCTACTTAATCTGTTGTATCGATAGGTTTTTATCATTTTTTATGGGTAAGATAAGAATAAACGGAAGGGTAAAGTTGACTTTATTGACTAGATAATATAGAAGCGGTAAGTAACCGATGTGTTTATCTCTACAAAGATAAACTGAAGTTGAACAAAAAGTAATCCAGAAGACCTTTTATTGCGTATTGTAGAGGTTGTGTGGATAAAAAAGTACCTATAATATCTGCAACCAAACGAAATGAAGGCTGTAGAAACACGAAGTTGTAATTTGAAGGTAATATTAGTCTTTAGTAAATTTTAAATATGGATTGTCATAAAATTAAGATGCTTACTTAGTTCATACGTGGTCTTTTGTCTAGAAAAACTGTAGAGGTTAAAAATTAATTGCTTTTAACAGACTTATAGAAAAACATATTAAACAGAAATTGGTAGGTAACCGAGATCATATTCATAAAAAAGGAAGGAATGTACCTACCTACAGTTCTCTAACGAGAGATATTAAGGATTAAGGTAAGAATCACATTTTTATATACCTAGCTATCAAAAATACTACTACCTATAATCAATAATACCAGTGAAAGTGCATAAGTACTGTTTGTTCATTTATTATAAAAAACAACGAACGTTTATTAAAATGTACCGATTTATATCTTTCATATCATTAATAAATTAAAAATTATATCTATATGTAATTAGGTTGTTCGTAATCAATTCACTTATTAATGAATGATGTGCAACACTGTCTTTCAGTATATAAAAAGTACTCTGTGAACACTGTAAAATAATGTGGCTAGCGCAAAAATGGCTATCTGCTTCCTGCTTGTGACATTGCAGTGACCTCACTGACCTCTAAAGTTCTGCTTAAGTTTCTGTCAAACTCCATAAATAAGTTGACAAAGTGCGGCTTCGAAATTTTTTAACTTGTTTTATACTCGTTTCTATTTTATCTTAAAATGGCTTTAGTAAGTAATATAACTCATATTGTTTATTCTAAAATTATTAATTAACGTACGCATTCTGTAAAATAATTAAAAAAATGTGAGATGCAGTTTTTTAACCTAAGTTTTATCGAACTTTTCTAGACTCATTTGTTTAGTATCGTAATTTAGATTTTAATATAGTGTCACTATAGTCTAATATTACGCCTTTAATTAAAAACCTGTAAAGTAAATTTCTAATGCAGTGACAATATATGTATCAACATTTTTTTAATTTTCTATTATATCAATTTAAGATAACCTATAAATGAACTAGGTATGTATATGTGATAACGCCCTTTTAACAAACGATTTATCAGGGGAGTAAATGTGGTTGTGGATGTAAATAATGGACAATGTTATTATATGTCGGAAAAAATTTAAGTTTTTTTTTTCTTTGGTTATAAACTTGTACGGTCATACTTTTGCCAGTGTCAAAGTCAAAATCTTTATTTGCAGTATAAAATGTTTCGGTAATACAGGTATTTAGTATAAGAGTAAGTCTCAGTAATATTCTACCGAGAGTTGTACCGGTGTGCAAATATATCTTAAAATAATCAAATTTAATTGTACATAATGTCAAAATAAATTAATTATATAATACATTTAATAATATTGCATTCAATTAAAATATTCCTTAACACTATAAGAACACTTGTCAAGAAGCCATTTATTAATCTCAATTTTTAATTTATTCAAAGGCATTTCTTTTAAGTTATTGGGTAATTTATTATATATTTTAATAGCCATCATGGGGGCACTGTTTGCATAAAATCTAGAGCTGCATTTGTGATGTAATAATTTATTTTAATGCCTTGTTTGCCTTTTGAGAGATTCAGCATGGGTTTTGAAGTAATTCGGATGTCGCTTTGCAAAAACACATATTTCTCAAATATACATGCTTGGCAAAGGCAATACGCATATCTTTTTGAACAATGGCTTGCAGCTATCAAGAAACCACAGACCACATACCGGTCGGACACATTTCTTTTGTACTTTAAACACTTAATCACATCAACAGAATTCCCACACAAAGGCAGACCATATAATAATACTGAAGATGCATAACCGTGATAAGCAGCTAGGGCTGTTTTTTGTGATATTGTTTTTCTCAATCTTTTTAAAACATATACAAACCAGTTTAATTTTGTACAAACCTGGTCAATGTGAAGCTTCCAGTTTAAATTTTTGTCAATTTTTATACCTAAAAACATAACTGATTCAACATTTTCTACCTTCGAAATTTCATATTTTATATTCATATTTATAGGTTCCATTTTGTAATTTTCAATTTGTATTATTTTTGTTTTGTCAATATTAAGTAAAGGATTATTACAATTAAGCCATGTCACAATAGTATTAATAGAATTATTTATTTCGGTTTCATATATGTTTTTTAGTGCATTTAAATATAAAAGTTGTGTCGTCTGCGAAGAAGATGCATTTATAGTTGGTTATTTTAGACAAGTCATTAATATATAGCAAGAAGATTAAAGGTCCTAAAATACTACCCTGAGGGATACCACGGTCATTATATCTAAACTGTGAACGATGTAGTTCTTTCGTAAATATGCTGTCTTGTTGTGCTTGCATTATCCGAGTGATTTCTGTGCATTGTTTTCGGCCTTGCAAGTAACTGCTTGTCTTAGCTTTCCATTGACGTCCTTCGAGTTGGGTGTTGATACGCATTTTTACAGAAAAGTTACACTATTATAAGCACACACACACAAATTTTCAACACGCGGAAACGCGTAATTTTTGAGAAAAGAATTATTGAAAATCAATTATTCTTGCAATGTTTATGTCTAATCCTACCGTAAAACTGCCGCAGTTTTGTAATGTCAATGTCGACGTCAATAGGGATGTCGATTCTTTCTGAAAAAAGTCGATTTTTAAATCGATTCAAATCGTAAGCTGATGTATCGGTTCACAAAAAATCGATTTCTAAAATATCTATATTTTTTTTATGTTTCTATTTATTATGTAAATATAAACCCATTTTATGAAAAACAAGAAAGATACCATGATAAATGAAACTCTTATTGAAATTTGTTTTATATAACAGTACCTATTAGGGCAGATAACAAATAAAATAGGTTAGGTTTAACTTATGTCAAAGAACCGAATTGATTGACCCCGACTCCACCTGGTAAGAGTCTGTCCTACCCTAGAGTGGTTTTATAGAGCCGGAGGCGCGTAGGGGGAGTAGCCTCCGCCTGCTGTAACAAATCGTAGGCATCGGACGAGTCGGAGCGGCTAAGGCTGGTCGCCGAAGGCAACCAACAAGCCGAAGCTGCGGAGGCGAGGAGGGATGCCTGCGATTTGTTACGCTAAGGCGTAGAGGCTGCTCTTCCCGCAGCGCCGGAGACGTAGCAGTCTCAAAATAGATACAGAAATCCTTATGAATCAGTCCCCTTATTTTTTTATGACGAAGGGAATTTTTTTCTCATAACATGGAGTTATATTTACATTATAAATGCAAACATGAAAAAAATATAGATATTTTAGAAATCGATTTTTTGGGGATCGATACATCAGCTTACAATTCGAATCTATTTAAAAATTCTATCTTTTCGGAAAGAATCGACATCCCTACTGACAATAATAATAAAAAATGGCATCAGTTTCATAGTAGGTAGGAATTGACATAAATATTGCAAAAATATTTGTTTTCAATACTTTTCTCTCAAAAAGTACATGTTTCCGCATATTGAAACTTTGTGTGTGTGCTTATAAAAATGTAATCTTTCTGTAAAAATACGTATCAACACCAAACTCGATGAACGTCAATGGAAAGTCGTACCAGATCAAAGGCTTTGGTCATGTCCAGCATGAGAGCAGTTACTGGAGTTTTTCTATCGATACTCGCCGCTATGTCTTTAATAAAGTTGAAGCATGCTAAAGTTGTGGATCTGTTTTTGCGAAAACAGTACATAGTTCTCTCAAATATCTTTGATATTACGGGGATCAAAGTTATTGGTCTATAGTTATATATAGTCAAGAAAGAATTAATTAAAAATATACAACAATTCGTACTATTTATTTTTGTATGTCGCCTTTAAATTTCGGTATAGTGATAGGTACGTATGTAATTTTGAAAATAAATACAATAAGTTAGTTTATCATTTAAATAAAATAAAAGCAGCACAATGTTAATAAGCACATTTTAATATTCGTATAGTTTATTTACAACCAATATAGTTAAACGTGTCTTACGGCGAACGAAAATAAAACATTAATTTATTTCCATAATATATTCTGGCATTGGCTACAAGGCCTTTAGCCAAAAGGAATAACATCAAACGCTGTAAGACATTTTTCAAAATATATCATTTAAATCAGTGATTCCCAAACGGTGGTCCGCAAGAACTTAAATATGGCCCGCGAAAAATTTAAATGTCTTACCTACCTAATCGTATTAAATAATACATTTATTATTTTCTCATTACGCGGGTAGTGCAACTCCGCGCGTCGCGTTGTAATCAAAATCGCAATGTTTTACCTAACATGTTGTATGATTTCTTTTACAATATATACACAAATAATACTGTTAATGGATGCTTCTTTACAGTTTGTTGTATAATTATGTTAAAAGTAGTGATTAAAATTTATTGTTAGATTAATTGTGGTCCCTCATAACAAAGAAAACAAAGTGGTCCCTAGTCAAAAAAGGTTGGGAAACCCTGATTGAAATAAATAAGGGTCAAGTATACAGTACACCAGATGGTAAGTGAATGATGAATGGTGTCCTTCACTTACCATCTGGGCTGTGGCTCATAGACCTACATTTATTATCTATTAAATTGATAAAATATTAAAATGCAGATATTTTGTCACCCTGAGGACTAATAACGAAAGTGGAAACGAGGTATTTCAGCTTCGTTTCCTGCATTAAGGGTCTCCGGTTCTCTACAGTCACCATACAAAATACAGCAGACTCATGCTGTTATTTTACGCTAGTATTCTGTGAGTGCGTAGTCGTTCCTCGTTAGAGCCGACCCATTCGTGTTGCAACGTGGCTCTACCACGTACAAAGATAAAATAAAAAAATTCGCGATGTTTTTGGGAGGTTTTGAAGACATACTAAGCCAGCAAGCAGGCGATGACGTTTGACGATAGTATCCTCATTTATCAAAGTGCCTAAAGAATATATTAATTTCTACGGCAAGTCGCCTAAGCGGAAAAAAAAAAACTTGAAGTTTTGTGTATATCACTAAAAACAATTTACAATCATAGTCATTAGTCATATAGTACACAAAATCGCATCACTTACCTATCAAAATCCATATCAAATTATTACCCATTTAAACGTTATTACAGGAGCAGTAATCTACCTGCTGTCAAATTCCGGCCAAAACTCCGAAATTTAAATTATTAAAGTTTTTACCAGCTTCATTTTTAGTTTAAAGTTCAGATTTAAAGGTTTATAGGGTTTGAAATCAACTTAGGGTAAGAAAATTCGGAAGAAGGTACCGATTTTTAACGAAATCGAAATCGGAAATACAAAGGCATTTGTTTGAGTTTTAATGATATTCATTAATAAACACTAAATTTACCAACAATGCTTAAAGAAATTTACGTTATGTATTATACCAATAATACAACTTTTTTATAAAATACATTCATTTTTTCTTATTGGCAAGCTGTATCAATTGGCAAATTTTCAAATATTTAAATATAGAACAATTTGCTCTCTGCATAGAATCGTAGGTTATAGGAAGACTTGACTCTTCTAAATTTCATCGCTTGTCGTGTTAGTGTGCAGTGAATTATAACAACAAGAAAACTTGAAAACAACTTTCGTAATTCGCACCACTAGAACTCACCCTGCGCCACTACGTCTTTACTGTTGCGCGCGCCGCGCCCTGCGCTCCTCTATCTCTAATACGCAAGTCCGTATATTATCGTATCGGCGAGAAGTTTTCCACGAAGGGCAATTCAAGATCACATACGATTTTACACCTGACGTACTTTAGCAAAAAATCGTTATATTACACCACTGTGAATATGGTGTGGTCAACAGTATACGACGGTAAAACTGAGGTAATAAAATCAATGTAGCGTTTTAAAAAAGTATTAGTGATTATACCCATAACAATGGAAAATCGGTTACGCACACGTTACATATTTATGTATGTTAAGCATTTTGACGATTTTTCCTAAAACACTGAAAAGGTATCGGTAATCGTTATTTTTATTTTTTCAGTAGTGAACTTTCTTTAAAAACAGCGTTATAAAATCGAACTTATATAATAATGAAAGGGTAGTGCACTTTCATTATTATATATATGCCGGTTTGTCGCAAATAGTGAGTACTTCGTCTCTATTATACGTACAACTCATGTTAAAAAAAAACGGTTACGTGCCTAAATCGATACAATCGGCAATTGCATTCACCAAAGAGTATATAATAGTATACCGAGTACCTATATAATATAATAATGATATTATTGCAATTATTGCTTTGTTATTAATTATTTGCTGAATTTTTGATTTTTTTTTACATTAAAATTTAAAACTATCATTAAAATTACTTGAATTATCTTATTCTTTATAAACATATAATTGAGTATGGTAACTGTTGTTTTATTTTTATATGTTTTATAATAAAACACATTGTATTTATTTTAACTTAAACTAGAAAATTCTTTTGACACGTCTTTTCTCTTTTTAATATTTTATTGCAAGATAGTTTCCTAATAGCCATTGTTTTTTTTTTTTATAAGACTGAACTGACATACAAACTTACAGTCCACTGTTGGTAAGTGGTTATTGCAGTCAATGGACACCTTCAGCTAACTTCAAACAAAGAAGGCAGACAGATGCATTGTCACCTTTGAGGACTAAAAGGGAATGCTTCACATCCTGACCTGACCTAATTATACTGGCTCCCAATACCCTTCACTGCTATTTTGCGAAAAAAAAAAGATTCCTACCACCAGTTCTATTATATTAAAGACTTACAAGTTTTATAAAATTTTTCAGTTTAATCACTTGATACTTTATGCAATGAAATAATAAGATTTATAACCATGTCCAGTACGCTGTGACCTGTGATAAAATTGCTTGGACATATTTGATGTTGTTCCATAATGACATGATGTTAACTAAATTTTGTGATAGCTTTAGAAAATTTTCCATTGACTTTATTTGTGTCCATGTTTGTTTAATACTTGTAAATTGATTCATATTTATATATGGGTATAGCTTTTTTTTTCCAGATTATTATTATGCAAATCATAGCTAATTAATTCTTAACATCTATAATATTATTTTTATCGTTACAGCCTATTAAAATCCACTATATGTATCTTGCCAAGCGCGGCAGCTCCACATGGATATTTGCCTTAGTTGCCATGCTTGGCAAGCGGTTTGGTAACCATAGTTTATTTTTTATTTTTAGTTGTTATTAGGAAGAGCTCTATGTTTATTGTAATAGATACTCATTACTCAATTCATACAAATTTACTGTGGTGAAGTAAGTTTGGTTGAGCTAGTTTGTAAATTTATTAATTATTCAGTTAAGTCCATTTCAAATGAACATCATTTAAACCATTAAATAGGTATTTAATATCACAACATGAGTTAGTTAAGATACACAAGGAGCTGCAAAGCTAACTTAGATAAATAATCTAAGAAAACTTAGTATAATATTTAAAAAAAAAATTAACTGTATTTAGGCAGAACAATGAGTGATTCTGAATCACTCTTTGTAATTGTTATTAATGTGATTATAAATTTAAAAGTATAACATTATTTAAGAAAAACAATTAAGTAGGTATCGTATTTACTTAATAACTCGATTGAATTTTTTTCATCATCATCATCATTACAGCCCTTCACAAGTTCACTGCTGAACATAGGCTTCCCAAAGCACGGTCCTGAGCCACCTGCATCCATTGACTTCCTGCATGTCTTACCAGGTCGTTAACACTAAAATTTCTTAGTTTTCTTTTATTTAACAATATTTTTTTTATTTCATTTGTTTGGACTTATGCTGTTAAAAATAAATTACATCTAATATAATATTCGTCTCTGATTGGAATAAATACAATGTGTTTGCATGGTGTTTGCAGAGAAACCTAAAACCTACCCATTTTACTTACCTACTTTTTTTGAATCAATTTATTCTTTTCTACAGTCATAATCATCTTAGATGGTTATTTTAACCTTAAATTTTAGCTTTGTTATTATTTTATCTTACAATGTAAGATAATAAAAATGACAAAACCTCCCACCACCCCAGTATGATAAACAGCTGGCGGGAACCCCTACTGCCAGCTGCTTAGGGGTCATCTATTGAATTGAATGTCGTGCAAAACAAAATTGCCTTGAAAAATGCAAGATGTAGCTTTTGTGAAGTGAGACAGGAAATATAAGGAAGGCATCAGTGTAGTTTTGAAACATTTTCGATTGATGATAGGCTGTTGGAAATTAGATTTTTTTCATTTCATAAAAAACATTTTTAAATATGATATTGATTATATTGGGTATGTACTATGTAAACGAGTAGGTACCTGTAGGTTCGCAAAACATTTATAGGAATGCAGCAGATCAGTAATCACTGGACAATTGCTATTTCTCAAAATTCCTCCCTCGGGGGTTATGACGAAAATTTACTTAGTGCGTCTAGGACATTTGGAACGACACATTTATTCATTAGATAAGTTAAGTTATCGATGAAAGAATAAATCATTCAATATACTTAGGAGATTTTCGAGAGAAACATTTTGGGATAATTACGGATCACTTGGTCTAGTCGCCTATATTTTATTTCTTTTAGTTTTTTTTTTTAAACAGTAATTTGTATAATTAGCCGCTTTAAAAGGAGATCATTGACCGATTAAAAACAGATTATTGGTGGAGTTTTGCTTAATTTATTTTTTTTGATCAGAGGAACCTTACTTTGAAACAGTAGCTGTAGAAGCTAGTAAGTAATAATAACTCTTGTACCTACATTTCAGTGTATTCACGTTGTTCTACATTATCATGTTTCAATGCGTTAACAATTAGTTAAGAGTTCAAGCTGCTAATGTACAATGCCATGCATGAAGTCACGCATGCCGGTTATAAAAAATAAACCAAACATTTTCTTATTCACTTAAATCGTTATTCTCAAAGCGGTCTTTTATTTTGTATTGTTATAAAAAACTGTCTCCTCTCGATACTGAAAGGAATTTAATGCTTTCGTCACCGCCGGGTGAAAGTTGTGTTTAAGAAAAATGATTTTTTATATTTACACGAACACTACACATTATAAAACTAATATTACGGATTTTATCGCGTATATTAACTTATTTTATATTCCCGACGTTTCGAGCACTTTCGAGCACCCATGGTCACGGGGGGGACTGAGGTGTATGACATCCCAATGTCATAGTTAACCACGGCTACCTTCAGATTAAAAAGCGGTTAGCCACCGTAGAGTCTATATCACCTGAGGATGCCTCGTGTAGAGGCGAAACACGTGTCGTATTATCGTCAGTGGTGTGTTTTGCCTAGTGTAGTGGTGTTGGGAGTAGCGGTGCTGGGATTAGTGGTGACGGGGATAGTGCACGCAATTGAGGGAGGGCGGGAGGTGCTCTTCATACTAGGTAAGACACATCATTTTATTTTATAACGCGGATATTTGCGAAGTAAATTTTTGTAAAAGCTTTTATATAATGGATTTCCGCAAAGTAACGCCTGATTTTATTAATTCGTTACTTCAATTTTTTAACCAGAAGATTTTATCATGCTTTTGGAAACTTTAACAGAGCTATGGATTCCCCAGCATAAATATAATACAAATAATATAAATATAATAAAAAATATATAGAGTTATCATTTGTAGTAACTCATCGAAACATTTTCCCCCATCCTGAAGTAGTTTTTATAATCGTCAGTTTCAGCAGTTAGTTGAATTTATTTTAGTAGATTTAAGCGAGTGTACATTTCTCTCTTAAGTATCCACTGTTTAACCCACTGCCTTTTTCGAATCCTTTTCTTCAAAGTAAGGACCAAAACAAGTGATACTACAGCTTTAACCTCATGTTTTAACGGTGGTAGAGCCACGCAGCAGTTTTTGCTGTTGCACGTATGGGCCGGCTCGAGCCGGGTTGGTACCACGACCTCACAGAATACCGGCGTGAAGTAGAAGCTCTGCTTCTGCGTTTCGTCTGGTGAGTGCAGGTAGCCGGAGGCACAATTCCCCCGTAGCGGAATTAAACGTTAGACTAACCCAGGAGGTTACCAGCACCCCTGGAGAATCCCTCGCTGAGCATCCACGACCATGTTATTCCACTCCTGAGCGTGGGTGGCTGCCCCGCGTATTCGGGGGGGGGGGGGCAAGATTCCGCTCAAAAACATAACTGCTCAGGGCAAACTGAGCAACAAGACCAAGGCGACCCCTGCCACGCTATCCGTGAATTTCTGCAACATCAGGGGACTTCACTTGAACCTAAACGCCGTCCACTACCATCTTGAGACGGCGAAGCCGGTCTTGCTCTTTCTGACCGAGACGCAGGTTTCCTTGATATTTCGCATCTCTCCTACCCGGGGTACAAATTGGAGCACTCCTTTGTGCCTCGGGCTGGAGTTTGCGTGTATGTCAGAGAGGACATCTGTTTTCGACGCCTCGGCAGTCTTGAAGGTTCGGACCTATCCATCCTATGGCTACGCGTAGACAGCGACGACCATCCGCGCGTCTACGGGTGCCTCTATAGGTCCCATAGCGGTAATGCCGAAACAGACCCACTCATTGACCACGTCCAAACGGCTACAGATTCTTTGCTACAACAGGTCCCATCCGCAGAGATCGTGATCCTTGGCGATTTTAACGCCCATCACGCCGAATGGCTCGGTTCACGTTTAACCGATCATGCGGGGAGACCTGTTTATGACTTTGCTTTGGCATATGGTCTGACACAACTGGTTACTTCGCCTACGCGGATTCCAGATGTGGAGGATCATACACCTTCCCTGTTGGACCTTCTGCTGACCTCTCATCCGGACGGATATCAGGTTTCCGTCGATACCCCTCTCGGCTCTTCGGACCATTGTCTGATCCGGAGTGTGGTGCCACTAACGCTCCCTTCGCGGTTGCGTTCTGCAGGTTGCCGCCGTGTTTGGCATTACAGGTCGGCGAATTGGGACGGGTTTGCTTCTAGCCATATGATCCCAGCGCTATTGCTGACTCTGTCACTGATGTGGTGCTTCAGGGAATGGAACTATTTATTCCATCATCTGTGGTACCCACCGGAGGCAGATCTCAGCCTTGGTTTGGTCGCTCCTGTAAGACTGCATTACGCAGTAAGCAGGAGTGTTATCAAGCCTGGGCTGCGGCTTCGGCGACTCGGGATGTAAACACCAGCACACTTAAAAAGAAGTATAACTTCGCCTCTAGGTCCTTCAAAAGAGTTATTGCCAAGGCAAAGTCAGAGCACATAGGCTGAATTGGCGAGAAACTAGTTCGCCTTCCTTCGGGAACCCGTGCATTCTGGTCTCTCGCCAAGGCTGTCCAAGGGAATTTCTGTAAACCATCACTACCATCTCTGCACAGGGAGGACAACTCACTGGCCCAAGACGCAAAAGACAAAGCCGACCTTTTAGGCTCCCTTTTTGCGTCCAACTCGACTCTTGATGACGGGGGGAAAACACCGCCGACCATCCCGCGGTATGAGTGCTCCATGCCGGATTTGCTGTTCTCACAGCGCTCGGTTCGCAAAATACTCCTCTCCCTGGACATCTAGAAGTCGAGTGGGCCTTACGGAATCCCCGCAATTGTGCTGAGGACGTGTGCTCCGGAGTTGGCACCGGTCCTAACGCGTCTTTTCCGGTACTCCTACTCCCAAGGCGTAGTCCCGAATTCATGGAAGACAGCTTTTGTCCACCCGATCCCTAAAAAGGCGATCGCTCAGACCCGTCCAACTATAGGCCTATCGCGATCACCTCCTTGTTCTCCAAAATAATGGAATCAATTATTAACTGCCAGCTCATGCGGTACCTTGAGGATCACCAGCTGATTAGTGACCGCCAATACGGTTTTCGTCGGGGTCAATCAGCTGGTGATCTTCTAGTCTATCTGACTCATATATGGGTGGAGGCAGTAGAGTCCAAGGGGGAGGCGTTGGCCGTTAGTTTGGACATTGCGAAGGCCTTCGATCGGGTTTGGCACAAAGTGCTTCTTTCGAAGCTCCCTTCCTATGGGCTTCCCGAGAAATTGTGCGAGTGGATCACCAGCTTCCTTGCAGATCGGAGCATCAAGGTCGTTGTAGACGGTGCATGCTCCGACTATAAGCCTATTAACGCTGGTGTTCCACAAGGCTGTGTGCTATCACCAACGCTGTTTCTTCTGCATATCAATGATATGTTGCTAACTGTTAACACTCATTGCTATGCGGATGACAGCACTGGTGATGCTCTATATACCGGCCGTGCCAATATTTCTCGGGAAAACGTCGCCGAGTACCGGAACGAACTTGTGTCTGAAGTCGAGTCTTTGCTGAACAAAGTCTCGGATTGGGGACGACTAAATCTAGTCCAGTTTAATCCTCAGAAGACACAAGTTTGCGCGTATACCGCTAAAAAGAACCCCGTTGTCGTATCTCCTCAGTTTCAAGGCACTCCCCTTCTTGCCTCAGCCAGTATCGGAATCCTCGGAGTCCACATATCGAGTGACGTGCAGTTTCGTGGTCACTTGGAAGAGAAGGCCAAATTGGCCTCTAAAAAGCTTGGCGTGCTCAGCAGAGCGGGACAGTATTTCATGCCGGCACACCGCCTGCAACTCTACAAGGCGCAGGTTCGGCCTCACGTGGAATACTGTTCCCATCTCTGGGCAGGGGCTCCCCAGTGCCAGCTCCTTCCACTTGACCGCATCCAGCGCAGAGCGGCTCGAATCGTCGACGACCGAGTCCTTTCCGATCGGCTCGATTCATTGGCACTGCGAAGAGATGTTGCATCCCTTTGCATTTTCTTTCGCATCTACCACGGGGAGTGCTCTGAGGAATTGTTCGGATTAATCCCAGCCGCCAAATTTCACGAACGAACATCGCGGCAGAACTCCCGATACCATCCACACCATCTGGATGATTGGCCGTCCACCACTGTGCGCTTTAGAAGATGTTTTATTCCTCGTACGACTTCCTTGTGGAATCGATTACCATCAGCGATTTTTCCGGACCGATACGACTTAGGGACCTTCAAGTAAAGAGCGTACTCCTTTTTAAAAGGTCGGCAACGCATCTGCGATTCCCTCCCTGGTGTTGCAGCTGTTCATGGGCGGCGGTAGTCACCATCAGGTGAGCCGCATGCTCGTTTGTCCCCTCTCCTATAAAAAAAATGTAAATTCATGACCACAGAGTACTTTTTAATATGACAAGACAACAGACGTTGTTAACGCGGCGGTTACGATACACGGACTGAAGAAATCAAGATTGAACGTGAAATGTTGTGCTGCGATCCCGTGATCCATGATCGCTATCAGAACTGTGTGATTGCAATCGAGATTGAGTGTGTATAGGCTGCCAATAGGCGCAACGTGCTACTCGGTGATATCTCTTTCTCTCTATTATTGACGCGCAGTGCTTTCCCTTTCTTCTCTTGCTTGCATTACAGCGATAGCATTGTAGACAGCGAGCGCAGAGCATGAAAACGTTTTTATTTTGTTATGTATTGTATCGTTTGAATCTATTCACATATAAAAGCGAAAACTAACCGATATGCTTACATACTTAAACTAGCCGACTTGCATACATAGTACATACATTCGCCACGTTTTCGGTTCGGTTCGGTTCGCAATTATGTTCGACAAGGCCTTTACTGCGTCCTGTTTTTAAACTGAATTGTCCTGGTTTTTCCAACTTCAAAGCCTAGTTTTTTTTTTAAATTTGGGGTTGGTAACCCTAATCAATACGCACTGGAACAGCACGACGGACTACCTAATAGGATAGTTCGTAAAAATACTTTTTATAGAACGTAACAGTCCACTTATAAATACTAAAAAGAATAAAATAATTTCACATTCTAAGTCCGTTTTGATTACATTGAGGAATATCACAATCATGTCGTCGGAATGGTTAGGTACCTACATTTTTTACCTATTTTGTCTCAGTTTAATTTTTATTCTTTAATACATATGGTACCATCTGAAGTATAACCTAACCTAAAAAATATCAAAACCGGTATTATTAACGAAAATACTGCTTAACAAAATACCAAAAAAAGCGGAACGTCCACCTTTTTTGAATTCGGTTAAAATTATACTTTAAACAAACGGAAATACGAGTGGGCATATGACGTTGAATGCCGCCAAATAGAAAATAATTAAAATTTTGTTATACAATTTTCGCCTCGCCCCGTCCGTAGAGAAAACAGGTGTACTGTCAGTTTTCGTGTTTTCGTTTGTTTGTCTTGTGTAAAACAATTGTAGCTGTTTTCTCGTACTTTTTTAGGGTTCCGTACCCGAAGGGTAACCAACGGGTAAGTCTCCATTGTCCGTCCATCTGTCTGTCAGCGCGCTGTATCTCATGATCCGTAATATGTAGATAGTGGAAATTTTCACAGAATGTGTATTTCGGTTGCCGCTATAACAAAAAATAATAAAAATAAATTAACAATTAAAGGGAGCTCTCCTACTAGAAACGTGTTTTATTTTAGCATACATAGTATTAAATCTTGTGCGATGGTACGGAACCCCTCATGCGCGAGTCCTACGCGAGCACTTGGCCGATTTTTGTGATTCTGAGCGGTTATGTCACGTCTGCATTAAACACGAGAAAAGATGCTCAGGGCTGTGGGTATGTTGGAAGTTGGGTGGAAGCTGGGCGCAGCCAAAAGATTGCAGACGTTATTAACCATACAACCACATTATAAAATCCGTAATAAAATTTTTATCCTACAATGGCAATGTATGGTCAAATAGAATATGTATGTTCCGACTATTTATAAATAATTTTACTTTATATATTTGTTAAATTTATTCTTCGGCTGCTTTTTCAATAGAGATTTGTTTCAGTCCGGCTCCGCGGAGAAGCCCAGTCAGCAGATGGCGGCTGCCGACGTGGGTTCACAACTGCAGCACATGTGCAGCCTCGATATCGACTCCAAGGCTTCGTATGTTCGGCTTTCTGGCATCATTTGTACAATTGGTAAGTATGACTGCACTATGTCATATATTCAAAGTCAAAAAATTGCATTTAATCTCGTGTGCTATGCCAGCACATTTGCTGGTATGCCTGAACCTGCGTGACCCTGTCTGGCGTAAATGAGACGTTTAACCTTCAATCTATCGGAAACCATAAGGTCAATCTTGCAAGTCCCATAGCAGCATCTTACAACATCCACTGCACCAAATGCGATGATGAATTCTTTTACGGCGCCACCACGCTACAGCAATATAAAAAAAACTTTAATCCTCAAAATTTGTTCAAATTACTTACGCCTTTTTATAAATAACTAGCTGTTACCCCTATCTGCCAGTGAAAATCCCGTCAAAATCGGTGCAGCCATTCCGGAGATAGCCAGAACAAACAGACTGACAGACAAAAATTTTAAAAATTGTGTTTTTCTTATAAGTACCTACCGTATATGCTTATATGTATAAACATAAAGCTGTTATTTTGACATAGATGTTCTCCGCAACTTAGCCCGCGTGTAATTTAGGTTTTTAATTTTTTTTGCGCGGAACCTTAATTCTTTTTCTTAAATAAAAGTAGCCAAGTTACTCCTTATATCATCAGCTATCTGCTAGTGAAAGTTCCATCAAAATCGCTCCAGCCGTTTCGGAGATTAGCCCGGAACAAATAGACAGACAGACAGACAAAAATTAAAAAAAATGTGTTTTAGTTTTAAGTACCGTATATAATTTAATATGCATTTAGTGAAAAGCTGTTATTTTGACATTACAAACAGGCATTTCTATTTTATTTATTTGTATAGATTTGTATAGATAATGCGATTTTACAAAGCAAATCTATCTAAATTCATCGCTTATCAGGTCCCGTCTCCCGCGATGTGGCTATGTTGGAGAAGATGATGGAAACGGGCATGAATGTAGCCCGAATGAACTTCTCACACGGCTCACACGAGTACCACGCGGAGACCATCAAGAACTGCCGTGAGGCCGAGAAGAACTACAGCGCCAAGCTCGGCATGCCCTTCTCCTTGGCCATCGCACTCGACACCAAAGGTCCTGAGATCAGGACTGGGCTTCTTGAGGGTGTAAGTATATTTTTATCTTTTTAATAGATTTATAACTCTCTCTCTCTCTCTCTCTTTTAATTCTCCCCCAAAACCCTTTATATAGTTAATATTAGGTACTAAAATCTGAAAAATAGCTTTTACTAAATATTTTAGATTGAAATATTAATCTATTGAACATTTTAGCAGTTAAATTTAAGAAAATAATACAATAAATACAATAATTTGCACAGCAGAACCCTACCTTAAACATGTTTCAGCTTGCACTTGAACAATTTTTTTACAATTATGTCATTCGATTGTAACAACAAATCAATCAGATAGTTCGATTAACCATCTAGGAATTCTTCATCACGGAAAGGCTTTAGATTAACTAACCCTTAATCTTGAAATGGGTGGGAGCTGAGGGTAGAGAGGAGGAGCTGGGTAACCCGCCTGCCACAATCACTTGCTTCAAAAATACGTAGGATTGTAGAACAAATTAGTTTATCTTTAGCTATACTAATTTTTCTAAACCCAGCAGAATGAAGTAAACGCACCTCAACTGCACCTCAACCTATCTTATCGCTAATATTACTTTTTCCAACGAGATCGCTTACGAAAAACTAGTTTAGCCAAGAAAAAACTAGTTTTCCCAAAATCGATTCTTATTGAAAAATATAAACACTATACTCTTAGCAATTTCAAATAACTACTGTTTTATTTATATAATCTAGAATACTTTTCAAAAGATCTATTTTTAACATACATGCACGAAGTTTCAGCACTGCGAAAGAATATTATTAAGTTTTTTTTTTGGAGTACAATAATAAGTATATTTAAATTATATAAAATCCGACCACAACTAGCAACAAATAGCAAATTGTCAAATAATATCAAACGAGAAATATTATTGAAGAAAAATTGTAATTTTTTTTCTCGATAACTATGAGTTTCCAAGTGCTAAAACTTTGTGCACATATGTTAAAAAATAGATCTTTCGAACAGTAGTTATTTGAAATTGGTAACTTTGGGTAAGTTATCTAAAGGAGAGCCTTCATCAGCACTTACCACCAGGCCACCAGGTAAGATTGTAATTGAGTTAGTATACTTTTAATAAGAAAAAAATATTTTAGTTACATCTGAAGGCTATCAGAGATGGAGAAAAATACTCTCACCATCTTTTTTAGTTCGCAGTTTACTTTGAAACCTCTTTTTTATATCAAAATAAATTTCTCAGGGTGGCTCCGCAGAGGTGGAACTGAAAAAGGGCGGAACCATCAATCTGACCACCGACCCCTCTTACCAAGAGCGAGGCAACGCTTCCACCATCTACGTCGACTACAAGAACATTACCCAAGTGGTAAAGCCCGGCAACAAGATCTTCATTGATGATGGCCTTATTTCAGTGGTCTGCCAGTCCTCCACCGCTGACACTTTGGTCTGCACCATTGAAAATGGAGGTACCTATATGTAAATTATCACATTTTCCAATAAATGATTGAAGTACTGGCCAAAACATTACATATCACACCAATAACAATGTGGCCACCACTGGATACAAGTCTTTTCAAGAATGCTCCATTTGGCATTTGGCTTGTATTCATTGTAAGATTTGCCAATACATACAAATCTAAGAAAGCTAGTTAGCAATTGGCAAGGTTGGTGACTGCAGATTCAACTCCCCACACTTTCCTACCTACCTTTGGTATAAATTTAAATTATTTACATTTAATAGTGAAGTCCCTTAACGATGACTGAAAGCTGCATTTCTGCCAGAAGTAATTGTGTTGTGTAAGCGTCAAAGGTGCGAGACATTTGACAGATTACAGGAAATCTTTCTAACTATTGCACATTTGACATCATCATCAATTGATAAACTTATATGGAACTGTCAAAACAAACAAAAAATACTCGAATTTCAGAAAAAATCTAGAAATATGAGAATATAACATGTATGTATGTATATGAATATAAATTCTCACGCCTGTTATTATTACACATCTCTGGCTTCTTTCTTATACACATACATATACGCATACATACTTTTTTTTTATAGGATAGGGTGACAAATGAGCACACAGCCCACCTGATAGTAAGTGGTTGCTGTGACCCATAGACATCTACATCTATCCGCAATAAAGAATCAAACTGCAGATGCGTTGTCACCTGTGAGGACTAAGATGGAATGCCTCTTTTCCAGTAAAAAGGGTCTTCGGTTCTCTACACTCACCATACGAAACAGCAGCATTAAGCTGCTATTTTACGCTGGTATTATGTGAGAGCGTGTTCCTTCCCCGGTCGAGCCGACCCATTCGTGCTACAACTGTACTTCTAATATATCGACAGCATGGCGCTACCACTTGTCGGTTAAGGGTAGTATTAATTTGGCCCATCTTCAATAAATCACCAATTTGATCGACATACTTCCGTCTTAGGCGTCGCTTGCCGACTCTACCACTCATTTCTGCAACATAAATTTTCATCATCATCATCATCATTACAGCCATTCACAAGTTTGCTGCTGAACATAGGCCTCCACTAAGGAATGCCACAAACCCTACCCCTATCTTATCACTTAAACATAACATTGGATATATTTTTTATATTATATAAAATATAATATATATTTATTATATTTTTTATTTTATTATGTCATTAACTATTTTATGTAAAGCAATTATTATTTAAAAATAAAGCTGATCTATTATTTTTAAAATCAGGTATGTTGGGATCGAGGAAGGGTGTAAATTTGCCCGGTCTACCTGTTGACTTGCCAGCCGTGTCAGAGAAGGATAAGTCTGATCTTCTCTTCGGTGTAGAACAAGGCGTAAGTAAATTAATTCAATGTTATTGTTTTTTGTTTAATATGTTAAAATGTTTTAATTCAATTTTTAGTTTTTTGTTATTGTTTATTGTTGTTTGTGAGTTTCATAGAATATATTATATTGGAAAGTGGTTAATCAAGGTATGTGACTATGGGTCACTTTATATTAATTTACCATCACTGTGTGCTTGCTTGTCACATTCACACCTATATAAAAAAGTCTATAAATTAGAAAATAGTGTTGAAACTTGATATAAGGGACTGTGACCCAGTGGTTTCTGTCTATCAAAGGCAAAGGCTGATAAAAAACATATATATATATATATACAACATTATCATTATCATGGATGTCGATAAATCACCTCAGGTACCTAAACGGTACACACACACAAGGCACGACGTAAACACGCCAGTTGATCTCGACTCGGCATTCATTGAGTACAATAAAAGCACGTGCTCGACTTCTTATCATGTAATAAAGAGACGCGACCTTCAGTCATATCTTGTATTGAAATAAAACTAATTTACGGGTAATTTTACGGGTTTTATCGCGTTTTTAACTGTTTTACTTATTTTAATTTTCGACGTTTCGACATGGTAACGAGGGGGGGGGGGGGCTGAGGTGTTTGATGATGTGATGTCGGTTAGTTCGCTTGTCACTTCAATTTTATAAAAAACCTTTACTGGATAAATTTTTCATATACGAGGGAACAAACGAGTATGCAGCTCACGTCCCATGAACCGCTACCCATGGACAATTGCAATAACAGGGGAATTTCAGGTTCGTTGCGTTGCCGACCTTTTAAAAAAGACACTAAGGGAGAGGCCGATATCGAATTAACTGTTACGTGCTAATCTCAGACTAATATAGAAAGATAGACAGAACACCACATACATTTCAATATGCACATATCCACCTAAAACCAAGTTGTTGGTTGCAATGTGTTTTGGTGCATGTCTTACAATAAGTTGAGCATGGTTTTCGGTCTTGAAATGTACGCAGCACTCTGTCTGTCTTTCTTTATTGGTCAGAGGGACTGATGAAGAAAACATGAAATAGATAGTAATAGGCAAATACTGGAAATTATGATATATTGGTCATGTATGCCACAGGTTTTTTTACTCCACCTTTCCTGTTAATTGTTGCAAGAATGAAAATAGTATCTATTTTTTATTTTATAGGTTGACATGATTTTCGCGTCATTCATCCGCAATGGTGAAGCTCTACAGGAAATCCGCAGCATCCTGGGTGAGAAGGGCAAGAATATCAAGATTATCTCCAAGATCGAGAACCACCAGGGCATGGTCAATTTGGACGAGATCATCGCTGTAAGTTGAATAATAGGAAGCTTTTAATATAAGCTTTTAATAGTGCATAATAATACAGTATCAAAAATGTACTTTAAAATTGTGAGATGTCTGTCCATGTTCAGCTGTGGACTTTTAAGGGCTGATGAAGAAGATGATGACGAAAAGTGCATGCACTAGGGATGGGCAAGGGAAAAATTATATCGTATCCATATTTTTAAACAGTATCGATATATCGTCATCATTTGCATGATTTATAGATAAGGTCCAAAATTTTATGATACTGACGGTTGGACGACGAAAGAAAAACTACAACCAACCACACATGAATACTTTTTTGTACCTCCTTATGTTGTTACATGTTTTGTTAATACAACATTTAAAATATATAGAAATTGATACGAATTCGATACTCTAAAATAAATATCGATATATCGCGGTTTAAAATAACGACGACGAGGGTAATTAAAATAAGAGTCTGTGATAATACAAGGATTTTGATTTTCTTCTAGAATTTTGACAAATCTATCTGTTGAATTACTTAGACCAAATGACAAACACATGTCTTAGGATCTTATTAGTATGTTAAAAGAGATAAGGATTTAAATTTCCATGTTATTAGTATTAATAAAAAGATGAAGAATAGATGAAGGTTCCACAAACCATATTTTTTTCAACTATCCTAAACTATCCTCCTCCCTTTATATTACCTTCCTCCTTATATTCCTCGACCTGTAGATTTTAATTCTCTTTTAACATATACAAGTACTCCTTTTGTGTATATTCTATATGATTTTATTAATACTAATTCATTTACCCCGATGTAATTTTGGCGTGAGGTGGCTTAAGAGTGTACATTTAATCAATTTATTTATTATTTTAATATTATTTTATAAAACAATCATCCTTTATTTTCTACCGACTTTAAAAAGGAGACGGTACTCAATTCGACTGTATGTTTCTTTTATGTGTGTTACCTCATAACTTTTTTCTGGGTGAACCGATTTCGACGATTCTTTTTTTATTTGAAAGCTGATGCTTCACATGTAGTCCCAAATAAGTTTGATCAAGGTCTGACCAATAGTTTTTGAGTTATTCTTAATAATTTATATTGAAGTCGCTTGTACAAAACTTTTAATTTTAAATTATGTTCCATTCTAACTTCAGTAATTGAATTTTAACCTAGACAAAATATTGCTTACTAGTAAAAACTGGATACAATATAAGAAGGGATTACCCAATCTACGTTGCGAGGATGTAAGCAATCAGTTACATCTGCAATATTTGTTCATTGTAAAATTGCATCCTCTTTGAATTCGATGTGACTTAAATTGTGCTAATATTTTGCTACGATTTGACCTCTTATTTGATTTACGTTTTTGCCAACTTTTAATTTGTGAAGCATTTTAGTATAAATAACTATCCTTAAACATCCCATTGCTGAGCACAGGTCTACTTTCATATCTGAGAAGGTTTTAGGACAAATGCGTGTTGTCAGATTTCTTTAAAACAGTTTTTAAAATTTCAATTATATTTTAGTAGTGTCAGCAGGGAGGAGATTTTAGAGTAGTATGAAATTTAAGGATAAGTGCTTGTTTGTTGAACTACCATGGTCTTATTCTCTCATATTTTAGCATAATTATGACTTAAATAGCTGTTCCCCACGACTTCGCCCGCGTGTAATTTAGGGTTTTAATTATGTTGCGCGGAACTCTAATTCTTTTTCTATAATATGAGTAGCCTAAGTTACTCCTTATTACATCAGCTATCTGCCAGTGGAAGTCCCGTCGAAATCGGTCCAGCCGTTTCGGAGATTAGCCGGAACAAACAGAAAGACAGACAAAAAATTTAAAAATTGTATTTTTGTTATAAGTACCGTATATACTTTCATATGGATTGAGTAAAAAGCTGTTATTTTGACATTATAAAGATAGCTTGTTAAAATATATACAAAATGTATAATATATATAAAATGTAACATATTTTATAGATAAATCATTTTTTGATAAATATGTAAGAACTTGGGAAGGTTATGAAATTAAATTGTGTAGAGACGGCATAAAAAAAATTCACCTACCCACATTGTTATACCGTTGGGGTCGTAAGAGGCAACAGAGGGAAATTAAACAGGATATTAGCAGCAGCATCTCCCTATAAACAAATCAAAATAATATAAGACAACTTACCTGCCAACCGTGGCAACTATAGCAAATATGGGAGATATTTGCTATGAGGCAATCTCTAGGGAGACCTGTTTTTTTTCTCAAAAAGTACGCGTTTCCGCATGTTAAAACTTTGTCCGTGTGCTTATAATAGTGTAATTCTGTAAAAATACGTATCAACACCCAATTCGACGGACGTCAATAGAAAACTAAGCCCTGCGTTCAACAGTGTGACCTTTGATAATTTTTAATGAATACTTGAATGAATTAATGGTAGAACTATAGTAGACGGGTGCCGGTGCTCTAATTTTAAGCGCTAATTTATCATTTATTCTGAGAAAAATTCGTGGATTTGTGAAGACTGTCAACTAATCAATCAACTTGTTCCATATACGTAAACCTTTTAGATATGAGGGGATGCTTATCCCTAATTTCTAAAGGGATTGCAGTCCCTGGCTGTAGGATATGTGTGGGCATTTTTCTCTAGTGTCCTATCCAACTTGTTTTTAGTCACGTAATTTGTTATAATTACTATAAAGAATAATTTCAAAGTTAATTCTAGAAATAAGTCCAATATTCCATCTGCCAATCATATCAATTCTACCGTGGTAGATGTCCTTATCCAGCAATAAACTTTTAATATGCTCATGAAAATCACAGTTTATTAATTTATTTTTATTTAAATTTGTTCATTATATTTCCAGGCTTCAGATGGCATCATGGTAGCCCGTGGTGATCTTGGAATTGAGATCCCACCGGAGAAGGTGTTCCTCGCGCAGAAGACCATGATTGCTCGCTGCAACCGAGTAAGACAATTGTGACATATATTACAATAATAATGCTTGGTATTGTACAACAAACATGAATTGTACTAACTAGTTGTTGTTACGATGTATGCCGTACTATTCCTTATATAAATAATTGAACAAAATTATTGTAAAATTGTACAATTTGGGCTGTCTGGAAGAGATTGCTATGTAGCAATAAGACCGCACTTTGTATATCCCGCAATAGTTGTTTATTTTTTCTTTTTGATATTTTTTATTTTTCTTGGTCTACAATAAAGAGTATTGCATTGTATTGTACAAAATAAAAAATAATCTCACTCGTTTTAACGTAAGTTCGAAAAAAGAGCTGAGCTAAGCTTAGCCAGCAACGATGTTAGAATATATCCACTACCCCATGTCGTCCTTTGGGTGTCTTAAGAAGCGACAGAGGAAAACAAACTAGGAAATGGGCAGTAGCCTTCCCAATGGCGGCTAAATAATAAACTGCGGTTGCCACAAGGCATACTACGGGGCGGTCTATTTTCAGTCAGCAGTGAACGGACTTACAAATGCCTGGTACGGTAATGGTAAGCTTAGTCATCTCATTAAATGAAATTATTACAGTTGAAAAGAGTTTAATTTTTTTAAATTCTGTTTTTATTCATAGGTAAATTTATGTATAATTAATTTTATAATGAAGTACATTTAGGTAAAGTTGTTGACGCCTTCTTGTAGAATCACTGTTAGCATTACAGTGGCAGAAAAAACATGTCAGCTTAAATATTAAATATTATTGTTATTCGACTGAAAGTTTAGGCACCCGAATGCCGGCGATAAGCTTCCTCTACCAGGCAAATCCTAACAATGGGGGGGGGGGGGTGGAGTACAGTACAGCAGTGGACTTTTAAAGACTTCGAAAAAATATACTTGAACATTTTTTTTTAATTTTATCTATGTATTACAGGTTGGAAAACCAGTAATTTGCGCTACTCAAATGTTGGAGTCCATGGTTAAGAAGCCACGCCCAACTCGTGCGGAGACTTCAGACGTCGCTAATGCTATTTTGGACGGTGCGGACTGTGTCATGTTGTCTGGAGAGACCGCTAAGGGAGACTATCCTTTGGAATGTGTCCTCACTATGGCCAACATTTGCAAAGAGGCCGAGGCTGCTATCTGGCATAAGCAGTTGTTCACTGACCTGGTTACACAGGTAATAATAATAATGTATTGTTTTTGTTCAGCAATTTTTTTTTGGTTTAGGAGAATCTTATATCCAGCTATAAACATATAATATATCTAGTTGATTTCAGCGACTGAGCAAGAAGAGTGTCTTTTTTATATAGAATTGAAGTTAAATATAAACAGTTCACCTGATTGTAAGCGGCTTCTTTAGTTCATGGAATCGTTCAACCAACTTAAAATAAATATCTTACAAATGTGTTTTCACATCTGAGGACTGTGATGGAATGCATCTCAGCCTGTAATTATATCAGCTCTCTTATATCCTTCAGATCGAAACCACAGCCTAAGAAGAACATACGTTTGATGTTGTCGGTAAAGCCGACGTAAACAACAAATTGCTAGGATCGTCAGAATGGGAAGTAATAAAAAAAAATAAAAATCTAATTTTATTTTATTTTACGTTTATGTAAACAAATTGAATAACTTAATCAGAAAATTAGTGTTCAGAAATAATAAATATAGGTTATAGAACCCACAGTTTTTTACCGCACATGTAGATAAATATTCACCCATTTTAATTTATTTGCGTGACAAACCTAGCGGCTAATGGTCCGCATTAGCCGCTCGGGAACTGTCCGCTAGGGTTATGAGATTTTAATGTTATATAATTAAACTGTAGATGAATTAAAATTATTTCAAAAATCGTAAAAGAGTACTATAATTTCCCCGACTATAGAAGCTATAAAAATTATGTGGAAATTATTTTATTATTTTTTGTTTTTGAAGTCTGTGTTTACGTTTTTGAAGGTTTTATTTGATTCTTTAAAGTGGACTAAACAATAACACAAGCTCAATGTGACATTGAAAACTGGAACTTCGTCTATGTAGTTAAATTAAAAAAAAATCCCTTTTTTCCTCCTTTAGGAATGGAATTTTTTCTTCAAATTTAAATCGGAACATCCTTGAGACAATCTGAGTATAGTCTATTACAAGATATTGTGTAATGTAACTACATAATACAGAGTTATTTTTCAAAGATTAGCCAAATTTTATATTTAAGTTCAAATAAATAAATTATTATATACCGATATTACATTTTCTTAAATACGAGTAAATAAGGCTTCTACTTTTATTTGAAGTTATCCCACATTGAATGTGATTTATGGGCAACATAGTTATCTTACGCAAGCTATTGTGTGTGTGTGTGTGTGTGATCAATTCACGTTCTCATTTCTCCAGTTTTTGCCTACTGTTTACTTTCTCAGTGACACGCTTTCTACTAATGCTTAAGTTAATAACTACATGACGCGAATTATAATTCCAATTTTCCTGTTACACTTTTAACGGACTTAGGATCGTCATAATAAATAAAATTAAAAAATATATTTTTGCATATCAACGACGTAACTGATGACTGTCCTTATTATGGCCTATTTAAAAAATTGGAATAAACTATTAACGGTAAAGACTAACTTTCGTATAATCTTTGCGCACCACGTAAACTTTCATTGCTTAAAATGTAATATCGCACCATTTCATACTATCCGCGGTTCGAATACTTTCGTTACGTCGTTGGTAACGAAGAGTACGTAATGAGGTCACGGTCAACACTCAGCTGTCGGCCGGGCGAACGAACGTAGGTACTTAGTGGTGTAATGGTAAATAAAAGGGCGCGCGAAGAAGCGCGGCAAGGTACCTTACCGAGCGACCTGCCCCTCAGACCGAATTTCTGGCACGGGAGTCAGTCTCAACGGAGACTAGCCATCTGCATGGGACAGGATTATAGTGCCCAAGAGTATGCGTATGCGCAAGTGCACTCCCTCAGTCTCATAGTCCAATGGGACGGTTAGCCGACAAGTCCGGAGAGAGATCAGGCGTAAGACCAACGGCTTTACGTGCTTTCCAAAGTACGGGTGTTAAACACCGCCGACTTCCTGACTCTGGGCTCCTACAGAGAATTTCTTGACAAAAAACCCAATAAACTGATATTGGTCCGAGCCGGGATTCCAACCCAAGACCTCATAATAAGCAATCGTGTTTACGACCACTAAGACAATGAGGCAGTTACGTACATACAAAGAATAAAGTAGAACTTCCTTCATTTTTGCTGTTGGTTATATAGACCTCGATCACGATAGATAGTCTGACGTGCATGTTTCGATTGAACAGGTGAAAGGGCCCATCGAGCCGGCGCACTCTGTGGCGATAGCGGCGGTGGAGGCGGCGAGCAAGTGTATGGCGTCGGCCATAGTAGTGATTACGACGAGCGGGCGCTCTGCGCACCTGCTCAGCAAGTACCGGCCGCGCTGCCCCGTCATCGCTGTCACGCGCCAGCCGCAGACAGCGCGCCAGGCGCACCTGTACCGCGGCGTGCTGCCCATCGTCTACAAAGGTACGGTACGGTCCGGTCCGGTCCGCACCTGCTCAGCAAGTACCGGCCGCGCTGCCCCGTCATCGCTGTCACGCGCCAGCCGCAGACAGCGCGCCAGGCGCACCTGTACCGCGGCGTGCTGCCCATCGTCTACAAAGGTACGGTACGGTCCGGTCCGGTCCGCACCTGCTCAGCAAGTACCGGCCGCGCTGCCCCGTCATCGCTGTCACGCGCCAGCCGCAGACAGCGCGCCAGGCGCACCTGTACCGCGGCGTGCTGCCCATCGTCTACAAAGGTACGGTACGGTCCGGTCCGGTCCGCACCTGCTCAGCAAGTACCGGCCGCGCTGCCCCGTCATCGCTGTCACGCGCCAGCCGCAGACAGCGCGCCGGGCGCACCTGTACCGCGGCGTGCTGCCCATCGTCTACAAAGGTACGGTACGGTCCGGTCCGGTCCGCACCTGCTCAGCAAGTACCGGCCGCGCTGCCCCGTCATCGCTGTCACGCGCCAGCCGCAGACAGCGCGCCAGGCGCACCTGTACCGCGGCGTGCTGCCCATCGTCTACAAAGGTACGGTACGGTCCGGTCCGGTCCGCACCTGCTCAGCAAGTACCGGCCGCGCTGCCCCGTCATCGCTGTCACGCGCCAGCCGCAGACAGCGCGCCAGGCGCACCTGTACCGCGGCGTGCTGCCCATCGTCTACAAAGGTACGGTACGGTCCGGTCCGGTCCGGTCCGCACCTGCTCAGCAAGTACCGGCCGCGCTGCCCCGTCATCGCTGTCACGCGCCAGCCGCAGACAGCGCGCCAGGCGCACCTGTACCGCGGCGTGCTGCCCATCGTCTACAAAGGTACGGTACGGTCCGGTCCGGTCCGCACCTGCTCAGCAAGTACCGGCCGCGCTGCCCCGTCATCGCTGTCACGCGCCAGCCGCAGACAGCGCGCCAGGCGCATCTGTACCGCGGCGTGCTGCCCATCGTCTACAAAGGTACGGTACGGTCCGGTCCGGTCCGCACCTGCTCAGCAAGTACCGCCCGCGCTGCCCCGTCATCGCTGTCACGCGCCAGCCGCAGACAGCGCGCCAGGCGCACCTGTACCGCGGCGTGCTGCCCATCGTCTACAAAGGTACGGTACGGTCCGGTCCGGTCCGCACCTGCTCAGCAAGTACCGGCCGCGCTGCCCCGTCATCGCTGTCACGCGCCAGCCGCAGACAGCGCGCCAGGCGCACCTGTACCGCGGCGTGCTGCCCATCGTCTACAAAGGTACGGTACGGTCCGGTCCGGTCCGCACCTGCTCAGCAAGTACCGGCCGCGCTGCCCCGTCATCGCTGTCACGCGCCAGCCGCAGACAGCGCGCCAGGCGCATCTGTACCGCGGCGTGCTGCCCATCGTCTACAAAGGTACGGTACGGTCCGGTCCGGTCCGCACCTGCTCAGCAAGTACCGCCCGCGCTGCCCCGTCATCGCTGTCACGCGCCAGCCGCAGACAGCGCGTCAGGCGCACCTGTACCGCGGCGTGCTGCCCATCGTCTACAAAGGTACGGTACGGTCCGGTCCGGTCCGCACCTGCTCAGCAAGTACCGGCCGCGCTGCCCCGTCATCGCTGTCACGCGCCAGCCGCAGACAGCGCGCCAGGCGCACCTGTACCGCGGCGTGCTGCCCATCGTCTACAAAGGTACGGTACGGTCCGGTCCGGTCCGCACCTGCTCAGCAAGTACCGGCCGCGCTGCCCCGTCATCGCTGTCACGCGCCAGCCGCAGACAGCGCGCCAGGCGCACCTGTACCGCGGCGTGCTGCCCATCGTCTACAAAGGTACGGTACGGTCCGGTCCGGTCCGCACCTGCTCAGCAAGTACCGGCCGCGCTGCCCCGTCATCGCTGTCACGCGCCAGCCGCAGACAGCGCGCCAGGCGCACCTGTACCGCGGCGTGCTGCCCATCGTCTACAAAGGTACGGTACGGTCCGGTCCGGTCCGCACCTGCTCAGCAAGTACCGGCCGCGCTGCCCCGTCATCGCTGTCACGCGCCAGCCGCAGACAGCGCGCCAGGCGCACCTGTACCGCGGCGTGCTGCCCATCGTCTACAAAGGTACGGTACGGTCCGGTCCGGTCCGCACCTGCTCAGCAAGTACCGGCCGCGCTGCCCCGTCATCGCTGTCACGCGCCAGCCGCAGACAGCGCGCCGGGCGCACCTGTACCGCGGCGTGCTGCCCATCGTCTACAAAGGTACGGTACGGTCCGGTCCGGTCCGCACCTGCTCAGCAAGTACCGGCCGCGCTGCCCCGTCATCGCTGTCACGCGCCAGCCGCAGACAGCGCGCCGGGCGCACCTGTACCGCGGCGTGCTGCCCATCGTCTACAAAGGTACGGTACGGTCCGGTCCGGTCCGCACCCGCTCAGCAAGTACCGGCCGCGCTGCCCCGTCATCGCCGTCACGGGCCAGCTGCAGACGGCTTTTTTTTGACCTGGCCTTTTTTCAAGACGTCCTAAGAATATAGCCTTCGTCAAAAAATATTTTAATCCATAATTTGAATGTTTTATCCTAACCGCTTCATTATGTAAGAATTTTTCGGATAGATATAAACACACAGTAGCTGAAATTTGAAAAATAAGTAGGCACTCTTATACCTTATTTTTCTACCGACTTCAAAAAGGACACGGTACTCTATTCGACTGTATATTTTGTTTTTCCTTTTTTTATGTGTGTTACCTCATAAATTTTTACTGTGTGAACCGATTTTGATGATTCTTTTTTTATTTGAAAGCTGGTGCTTCATATGTGGTCCCATATAAATTTGATCCAGAGAGATTTAGAGATTTAGAGACAGATTTAGAGAAGTATTATTTGTAGAGCATAGAAGCGCTTGGTTTGTGCAGAGTCCGTATATGTCCCGTATATATTAGATGTTTGGTTGATGTGGTGCAGAGGCGGCGGCGGGCGACTGGCTGAAGGACGTGGACCTGCGCGTGCAGTACGGGCTGCAGTTCGGGCGCGAGCGCGGCTTCGTGCGGCGCGGCGACCAGGTGGTGGTGGTGACGGGCTGGCGCCAGGGCTCCGGCTTCACCAACACCATGCGCGTCATGTGAGCACCGCACACACACACGCACATGCACACGCACACGCACACTACATTTATATTAAAAGTCAAAAAGGGAAGGTTTATAGTCGTCGAGTGTGTTTATTATTCAAATACCGCAAAGGACCGTGTAGTGGCGGTGTAAGAATATCCACTACCCCATGTCATTCCGTGGGCGTCATAAAAGACGTCAGAGAGAAATAATAGATGGACAAAAATAACTGAGGTTGGCCAACCCGCTTGCCAAGCATGGCAACTATAGCAAATATCTATAGATTTGAGGCAATCTATCGGGAAGCCTATGTTTAGCAATGGAATTTAAAGGCTGTAACGGTAACATTTCAATTATATGTAACTATTTAGCTTACTTTCTAGTTGTTAGCTTGAACTTGCGATATTCCTTAGACCGCTTAAAACTACACTTAACAAAAGTAAAAGCGGACTAAAAATAAAAAATAATTATAAATTCTGAAATCGCGGATATAGTGCTTTTTTTTACATTGTCATGTACCGACATGTATAATCATGTATAATAACTGAAAATAATAACGACTGCCAAGCGTGACAACTTATAGCAAATATCTCCCCTATGAGGAAAGGACAATGGCAGACTTTCATACATAAAATTAGTTGAGAAGGAATGGTAGCGTCTATATATCAAAAATATCTTAAAATGTTAAGCGTCAGTCCCTGAATAACTATGTCAAAGAATTTTGTCCTGAGAAGGCGTCAAAAAAAAGATATTTAGATTTGAACCTTTTTAGGTTATGTCTTGTCACTTGGAAAAAGTCATGCGTCCTGTGGTTGTTTGATGTTAGCTTAATACATTTTCAATATAATGTACCTACCTACATAATTGAGAGTTTTTAAATTATTGTATCTTTATTATATGCTTGCATATTATAAATGTATATTTCTGGCATGGCTCCAGGGCCTTTGTGTCGTACAGTGACATTCTCAGAAGGGCTAGAACCCAGAGCCGTAAAGCCAGTTAAAACAGTGACATTTTGTTTTAGCTAGTGCTGCCATAACATTAAATGGAATTGTTACATATTACTACGATTGAGATAATGTATTATTGTAGGAAGTTCTTTGTAAGAGACTTATTTTCAACCATATCACTTTTATTTTAATTATTACTGATGGTATATTTATTACTAATAATAACTTTATATAAAATATCTTGTGTTTGTGTGTTGTGTTGGTAGTCTTACAAAGAGTATACGAAAATAGTATGAATTTAGTAAATGGCAACATTTGTATAGAGTAAAATGATTTAAGTCATTTGATATTGCCAAAAATGTTTGTTTTTTTTTCTGTGGCTTTAATTAAAATACATTTTTATTTGAAAAATCATAGAAAAGTAATAAAACTCATTTTATATATAACTTATTTCTAGACACAATAATTTTTGTCAACTATTTTTCTGCCATTGTTCTTTATGGGGGACGCCTATGTTCAGCAGTATACTGTAATGATGATGATTATATTGTTGAAGTATGTCTGTTTGAATGTTTGTCATTCAATTACATTGAAACGAATTAAGCAATTTTAATTAAATTTGAAACCTCCAGTCATTACGAGTATATGTTTATATATTTAGTCAACACATGACTGACTGAAGTTGATAGTATTTCACTCCCGTATCTCGGAAAGCACGGAAATCGTTAAAACCGTTAGTCCTACGGCTAATCTCTCTCTGGTCGTGTCGAATTCTATACCAACTGACTGAGGGAATAGAGAGTGCACCTGTGTTTATGCGTACACTCAGGTACTATAATCCTGTCTTGCTCGCATGGATAATCTCGTCGCCGTGACCGAAATTCTTTCTGGAGGACATTAAATTCACGTATAATTTTATAACGAATGTTTGTTTTGAGTATATCAATATTTTTTAAAAAGTACTAAATTGTCGCATAACCCATTGCATAAGTTTAGAAAATTTAATGCAAATTTTGTCTTTCAGCCCCGTGGAATAAGCCGAAGTGAAGGATTTACGAAGAATGTTTCCTCAAGTATTAGTGCTTATAGCAGTGATATAAAATATGATCTTTTACACGTTTCTCTCGTGATATAATATGTATATATTAAATATATCTGATGTAAATGTTTCTCAAAATTAAACTTATCGCTAGTATAATGTTCTATTTATTTGTGAGATTTATTTAAAATTACTGAGAACCGTAAATAAAAGAATGAAATATTTTAAGGTTTTTTTTTATTTGTGCTTTCAACTTTCTATCTTTGAGATAATTAAAAGAACCGAAATTAATTAAATTAAAGATTATTTTAACCTTTAACATCTTTACTTTCTTGATACCTACTATGATAACAATTCCTTTCTTTCTTAAAACCGATTACTTCTAACTAAAATCATCACTTGGACCAAACTGAAATAAACGTAATATAGATTTTAGAATTAGCCGTTTCGGAGACTAGCCGGTACAAACAGACAGACAAAAATTTTAAAATTTGTTTTTTGTTATTAGTACCGCATATAAAATTGAAGGCGAATAAAATAAAGTGTCTGTGAGCTTTTTGCATGCAACTGCATATGAAAGTATACACGGTACTTATAACAAAAACACAATTTTTTTAAATTTTTGTCTGTCTGTCCGTTTGTTCCGGCTAATCACCGAAACGGCTGGACCGATTATAACTGGACTGATGTTATAAGGAGTAACTTAGGATACTTTTACTCTAGAAAATTAATTAGGGTTCCGCGAAAAAAATAAAAGCCCATGAAATCGTGGTAAATTCCACGCGAGTGAAGTCGCGAAGGACAACTAGTCTATACTAATACTATAAAGAGGTAAAGTTTGTGAGTTTGTTTGTAGGAAGTAATCTCTAGAACTATTGAACCGATTTTAAAAATTGTGATTAATCATATTTTTAATGTGAAATAACGATATTTGTCAATAAATTCCGAAAATAAATCCTAAACACTCAGTACTAAGAAAAACACAAGATAATTTCATTACAAGTAAAAATGTTTGACGTCCAACAAAGTGGGCACGGGTCAGCTAGTGTAATCACAGTTTTTATGACGCTTAGACAAAGCTGAAGATAGTAGATAGAGATGTCTTTTTATTTATACAGCATAGCAAGGTAAAGTAAAAATAGCAAAACAGAAAAGTTTTTAAGTGCATTTAATACTTGACCATTCAACCAAAGGACGAGTAATGCGCCTAATCCTAAGTCTGTCACTATGCTGCGGGGCGAGGAAACACTACATAGACAGTACTGCACACCTAATCAATAAAATTTTGTGTCATTATGGCACACATTAAAACTAAATACGGGAATCTTTGTGCAAAAAAAGGGACAGTCTCATGTAATCGGTATACGACCATAAACTATTCGTAATCTTTTTTGAACACGCAGTGAAACAAGGAAAGTACTTACACATAAAGTTTCGTGTATGCAATATGAGAGTTGATAAACAGTTTAACAGGTGTTATCGTCAATTTACAGTTATATGGATACAATTGAAACATTCTAGATCTAGTCCCGAAGATTTTAATACATTGTAAAAAGAATAAAAAGATGTATGACCTTGTAACAAGAGATACTTATTCCGTAATATTATTGGCACGGTTTCAAAGGTACGTTGCAAGTAGAGTTTAGCCTGGTGGAAAATTTTCATTACAATATAAATAAATACCTGTTATATCAGATCGCCTCGTGCTACGTGTTTGCATTATACATAAGTATATTATTGTACTTTATGAAACTGTGTCTTTTTTGATAATCTTGGTATTTTGTTTAGCTTTATGTAATGGAGTCCAGACAGCAGCAGCGAGTAATGAGCAACTTTTACGTGACATTTTATGCGATAGTTCAACCATTTGCCTGAACCGCCATCCACCCCCCCCCCCCCCCCTCAGACAAAAAGTCCTGGTCCTGGGTACGTGCTTGACAGCAATGGCTGCTTATCGGCAGAAATAGGTAAGAGGATGGTAGCATTCTAAAGGACTCGTATTAAAAATAGCCATAACACATGGGAAATATATACACATCAACGGTATCTAGGGATATTTTATATTTCATCAAATATCTAAAAATCTATGACGAATTTTCTGATATAGTAAGTGGAAAAATGATAGCTTATTTTAAGGTTAAAGACCTTAAAATAACCTTTCATTTTTCCATTTAAAAAATTAAAAACATTTCGTAATTATTTAAAAAAAGAACTACCTATGTGAAAATCCAATTGTGCATGCCCTAAGTGCACATAAGTTTTCACTAATAACTAATAACCTTATTATTATACTCCCAATTTTCCAATAATGTTATGTCAAAAGCAATTTTAAATAATATTGAACTGACGCGCTTCGTTTAAATTAATATCAACCAATATTTCAGCCAATAGCGTCAGCCACTAATGAATTCAACCAAGTATTACATATATGTGTTAAAAATATCATTTCGTACAGTTTAATAAAAATAACACTTCAAAAGATTTAACGGCAAACAATTTATATGATATGATAATTTTAAACCACAATTTGATCATGAAATATTGGATATAATTTTGATTTTATGACAAATATTTGTTACAATCCTCATTTTTTAGACATGGGAACATTGAGTTATACAAGACTAGAGGAGCAAACCATATTACCGCGCGCCGAAAAAAGTGAAGCCACTATCTAGCCGCGAGGACTTAGCTTTGAAACCACTAAACCTTTTTAAGTAAACATATATCTGTCTCACTTACACAAGTCACGAAAACAATACCGTCGCTAATATTAGATAAAGATAGACACACAAACATGCAGTGACGGATTGGTATTGCCTACTATATGAAATTTTACCCAAAAATAAGCAATAAAAAAAGTGTTTTTTTAAGCAGTTATTTTGCAGTTATTTGTTTTTATTTTAAATATGTATCTTTGCTTATCCGATGAATAGAAGTATAACTAATGAAATGAAAGATTTTTCGAAGTATCTTTTATTGTACTGATAAATCAAACAAAAAATAAATCAAGTAAAAAAAATCAATTTTGGGTTTCTTAACTTTAAATATTCATCAATTGTGAAAGCATCGGTAAGTTTTGTCTCCTAAATTTGATCTTATGACATTAGCCACAAAAACTGTGGTTATTAATATATTTTTAAGTTAATACTAAATGGTGTTAATCTGTCGCACTAATCCTCTTAAATAAACACGTTCGCCATCGCTTTTATGTCCTAGTTTGTCTTGATCCCGGAAGTGCTTAGAACTAATGAGAATAGATTTCGAAGGCACCCAGTGAGTCTCCTTTCTCAGCAATCGTATTATTTCCACCCACTTCTTACGGTGTGCTGCATCTTTAGGTACCCTGCAAAATTATTAATATAAAATAGCTAATAAAATATAATTAATAGATCTATAGATCTCTAGAATATTCTAAAATAAAAATAATTAATTCCTTTGTATAAAGGTTGAAACATAGTTATAATTACAACTTCCAAAATATTTAAAATCAGGGCTAACAAATTAACTTATTCCATAAATTATATAGTCGTCGTAGTGTAATGTGGGAAAATTGCAAAGGCAGAAAAGTGGCAACATTGAACCTAAATTACAATATTCGATATTTTATTTCATTTTTTTGTGTTTTTTACGTTAATATGAAAACATAAACTAAAACTTACGTGTGGAAAGTGATTCCGCTTGATTAATTATGTTTTTGTGACCTTGAATCGCATTCTTTCACTACGCATTTACCTATTTTTTTGTCGTGAATCGTTCGGCTCAACTCGGTCGGCGTCGCATTGAACACCGAACCGATGTTGCTTGGGCATATGGCTGTGGCCATATGTGAAGTGGCAACGTTTTGGCGCGGCAATTACTTATCTAGTGTAACATATAAATCAATGCATGGGAAGCCTAAGGCCGCGTTCCGACAACACGCACCCGCTACGCGCATGCCACGCGCTTCAGCACCCGCGTCTAACTTGCTTTGAAATATGTTGCATACAATTTGAGTCTTATGACAAATCAATAAATCTTAAATTGCATTTATCGATAAATATTATCTGAGCTGTTCGCGACGGCCAAAATATATACAGTATATTATTTATGGTCCGGAGTGAGGAAGGCAAAGTGTATTTAGTAAAATAACATGAAAAACAACAAACTCGGCACATCTAGTTCTCCTTGTTGAGGAGTTTCAGTAGCAGCACAGATTACTAAATAGTTTACTAAAGTAAACAGATACATCACTCCCATACAAAAGCGAAAATACCTAATAATATCTGCTGTTCGTACCGAGACGAAAATGTACCATAAGTACGCGCCTAAAAGGTCCAGGTTGTGTTAACCGCCGTGCGACTCACGTGCAAGCGCATCATCGCCAGTGTTGCCAACTGCTAGCTTTACCCAGTTGCTAGACATTTTTCAAAATGTTGCTAGATTGCCAGCTTTTTTACCCCAAAAAGTTGCTAGAAGTAGCTAAATGTTACAGTACGTAGTTAGATTACAATAAAATGTCAATTTCTGACAATCATTTTTAATTTCCAACAAGAGAGTTAAAATGTCTTGTGTACAGTCACTAGCAATAATATGTAAATAACATAGAACTATATTATATTATTGTCGAGTTTTGTGGCACAAATAGTTTTGTTTCGGAACGCTTAACGTGACAAAGTTCTATGTTGTTTACGTATTATTGCTCGTGACTGTACGTTATTGAATAAAAAAAATAAGTTTAAAATTAATCAATCAAAGAAGATGTCGATATTTGGGGTTCGGTGCCATTCGTCGTAATTCCGAATATTTTTCAGCGGTGCCCATTTTATACAGTACATCTTTAGATAAAACACGGTTATATAGCAGCATTTACCACTTTTCCTGTGGAATTCACTAATGCATAGGATTGAGTTCAGAGTTATGAAACTCAACCAACCTTTAAATTCGCCCATATTTTCCCACTTCGGTCTATATTTCTGTGCGTACGCTTTTTTTTTCGAAGATAAATCCAGTTTCATATAAAATTAGTTTATATGGATAAAACAAAACAACACAAGGTCGAATACGAGTAGCGTGTACTATTTTGGTTAGTGGTAGGTTAGTGAGTAATCTGTCGTAACGCAGCAGGAAACGGGGAATTCCCGGCCAACACCGACCTAAACCTACCATAGCATCTATGACCACAGATTTGCATTTAGTTTTTATTTTTTCTTTCGAGACTCGGTACCCTACTCTACGAATCTCGTTAGCCTCACGTCTCATGATGAAATGAAAAGTTGCTAGAAGAAGTAGCTAAAACGTTAAGCTACAAATTTCATTAAATTGTAGCTGTCCGTCACC